CTCTCTCTCTCTCTCTCTCTCTCTCTCTCTCTCTCTCTCTCTCTCTCTCTCGGTGTATATATATAAGTATATTTATATGTTTTATAAAGGTTTAAACTTTAATAAATTAGCCAAATCGCTATCTTTAATATAGAGAGAGGTAGTAGAAACCCGACTGTGTCCTAAAACTTTTTGCAAAATGTTGAGTGGCATGCCGGCTAGAAGGTTATAAGTAGCAAAACAGCGGCGGAGAGTATGGGGGGCTAATTCGGTATGAGGACTAATTTGTAGATCGTGCCGAACCCGACGCAAAAACTCCCAAAAATCCCGACGATTAGTCTGATTAGGCTGCCAGTTACGGCTTTGCAGTATGGCGGCTATTTCCGGTGATACATAAACATATCGGTCTTTCCTTCTTTTGCCCCGCAGCAAATATAAATCCTGGTATTCGGACTCGGGATGTCGCAATTCTAAATTAAAATTAATGGCTTCGCTGACTCGCAAACCAATTTTTCAACAGAGTAAAAATAAACAGTAATGGATTCATTTTTTTCTCTCGCTTTTGTGATTGGGTCGAGTAGCAATGAATTCTTGAATTTCTTGCAAAAGTTGTTGGGATGGAAGTTGTTGTAAGGATTTTTTGGAGTTTTTCATATTGTTCTAGATACCAATATCAACTTTAATGTTTTCAATTTTTTCTAACTCTGTTTTTATGTTTTTCTTAATTTCTTCAATCTGCTTATATTTTTCAGCAATTTCTCTTTGTTTTACTAAGTCAAATTTTTTGTAGAAAGTAATTGGAATTTTGATCTCAATGTTTTTTATTTTATCCTTTCCAGCCTTGTTAGAAAATCCAAAGTTCTGCTTGGCCAATTCTTTTTCGATGGTGTATTTCAAATAAAACAAGTCTAAGCTTTTTTTATAAGTATCTCTAAAAATTAATGGAATTACTTTTTCTGATAAACTAAATTTCCCTTTCCTAGAAAATACTTTTCCTACAGAACCATCTATATTTCAAGTTAGGCAATTTTCAAAATACTTTATGTTAGGCAAATTATCTTCTATTTTTCCATAAGTGGCATTCTCGTCTTTGGAAGCTCCATAAACCGGTATTTCGCCCTGATGATTATTTACAAAAGATTTAGTAAGTTTGCTGCTATTTGTCTTTATTGATAAATCAAAAATCTTGTCTATGGTAACTATTTGATAACTAGATCCAAATTTCTCTTCTTCTATATCTACCACCAAGTCATTGATTTTTCTTTTTTCTAATTCTACTAAATCTCTTAACTCCTTAACGCATTGATACTTTTCAACAATTTCTTTTTGCTTTGAAACATCAAATTCATTCTCTTTGGTAATCGGAACCTTTATTTTCACACTTTTAATT